GGGGGGGGTCTAAAGATAAAAATAAGCAACTGGCCACACAGTCGACTTTCCTGATGCACAAAATGGTGAGAGGAGATGTTTGGCTTTCATTAACTTGAGATTATCTTAGCGTGTTTCATGCTGCTATATTTGCTGGAGAAAGCCTTGTTCAAGTTCTGTTGGATGTTTTGTATAAGGCTCAATCCCATTACATATATGAACAAAGGGGCTGCATCCTCCTACAACTGTGATCTCTCTATTACCCGTCCACACCAGCTCCTGTTTTACCCAGAAGTCCTCATCATTCACAATTTACATATTGAAGTTATGTGTAAAAGTAACCCTAACCCTTCTTTTGATGTAGTACAGGTTCAACCTTTCGAGTTTTCAAGCTCTGCTTTCAAACAAATTGTGATAACCCTGTGCTACTTCAAAGCCAAACCATCAACAAAGCTCAGGTGACACAGTTGAACACAGAGGAGTCACCAGGACGTGGCAGAGCAGAACTTGATTGAAGTGTCTGCTGTTGTACTGCAAAATGAAAGTCATTTGTCTACCTGTCAATGTTGTGTACTGTGTAAATATATATATATATATATATATATATATATATATACACGAGTGTGTTTGCAGGAGGTCTGGGTAAAACGTGAGGCGGGGGAAACACTCCAAGGAACAAACCAGTCGTTCAATTCTAAAGTCATCAAATCCACTGCCACAATTTGTGTTCAAAACAGAAGCAGAGAGGCAGAGGATGATGAAGGACGAGCGAGAGGACGAAGTGCAGAGAAGATTTTACTCAACATGGGATGTGACAAAAAGATGATGAGGAGGAGACAGAACTAAACATTAAAAAGATGAAAACAATGAAATGATGCTGTAAAAAAAGCAAGGTGAGAGAAACCAAATATAGAGATGAGGTACCATTGGTGCTGAAGATGACATGCTGCTGTCTTTGGTGCTGCTGCTGCTTACTACACTGTTTTTACTGTTGGTTCCCTGCGACTGGGGCAAAGAAACACAACACAGAATGACTCCCACTGCTCCCACCGGCTCTAAACCATAAAACCACCCTGTGGGAAGCTCAGGTGGAAAACAGTAATAGAGCCATTAAATGGCTAATATCACTATTCCAGCTATTGTAAATGAGTACGATTTAAAGCTGCATAATCTGGGAGTGGGACGTATATGCAGGAGTTCGATACTAAAGAGATTTATCTGAATATCTGTAACTATCATCTGCAACTTACTACTTTGTGCATTTTAAAGGGCAGTAGTTGTTGTTGTGTTTTCCTGTAGGTCTGTTGTGCACGAAGCTTCAAAATAATTTCTAAATCTTCAACATGACTCTTCTTTTGTTCATCAGGAACTTGTAGAAACAGATTAAGTGTCCTGCTCCAACTGACACTGAACTGAGAAGGTTTTGTTTATTATAAACCTGTGTATTGAGTGACCAAAGGGCTCTTTGAGTCTAGCACCACAGTGAAAGCCTGCATTAAATGTCTACAACTTTGGCAGTTGATGCACAACATTAAAAAAAAAAAAAAAAGTAAAAATACAGAACAGTTAGTCAGCACATGCATTTTTAAACAATGAACATACTTTCAGAGCGGATTTTTAAGTATTTTCGCAGCACTTTTGAGGGAAATCACAAGTTTAGATCTACAAAAAGTACCAGCAATTAGTGGCTACTCAGCCAAAATGTGTGAAACAGATTCAGAAGATAAAGTTTATAAATATGGTTGCCAGTCCAGGTCTGTGCATGCAGTGAAAGGCCTTGATGAAAGGTTTCTCTCTAATTGTGGAGAGTGTGTGTGCGTGCATGGAGGTATGTACTGTATTTTGTTATTTTGCGACGTCAGCTCGAAGACAATCCTAAACCCTATTTGACCCACAAATCTACTGAAGCATTACTGCACCCGTTTAGTTCCCCCCCCACTCTCTTGAACAAACCCTGTTCATTGCTTTGACTGAATTTTGACGACTCGGTCCAAACCTCAATCAAACGTTGGCTCGCCAATAAAAAAAGACACATTGCAGTTTCAAGACTGTCCTTATATGAAGTAAACACATTTTCAGTGACATTTGCATCTTGGGTTAGATAAAGTACTGTCTCAACAGTCTCCTACATCTATTACAATATATTTTACTGAAGTAACTTTTCTCTTGTGAGTGCAGCCGAGCACCTGCTGAGCCACAATATAAAAAGCATAAAGAACAAGTTTACTGTCAGGATCATAAGGATATGATGAAAGTCATACATTTTAAGTACACCTGAAGCGATTGAGGTGTATTTACAATGTGTTTTAGTAAATCTAAATAACTGGTGATGGTGTGTACAACTCAGCCTGTGTATAACAACAGTTGTATTGTCTCCTCTGTAACTCAGGTTTGAAAAAAGTGACCCAGAGGACGTCACTGTGATTTCTCAGTTTAGGATTGGAGACTACAAATTTTCACCTGGAAATCCTCAAAAAAAGATGTTATTGGTCGCATTTTGGGAAATGTAGGATCTAGTGCAGCCTCTGCTGCTTTGATTTTGATCATTATTGTTTTTCTTGTGAGTCTACCAGCTTCATGGAAGTGTAAAACTAAATTCTTGGAGTATCCCTTAAATTTTTTATTGCTTCATTGCTCATTTTGATCCTCGTTTTTTGAAACCTGCGAGCCTGCATAGTGTTTCAGCTGCACAGCAGAGGTGTAGCTACAGATTGTAGCTAGCGTGTGTAATGTTAATAAGAAAACAAAGTTTGAGCTGGACTCTCCCTTCAGCCTCAGGCAAACTGGAGGGGAAAGAGAGGCTTCTTGAATGTAAATCAGTATTCCCAGAAATTTAAAGAGGTGTGGACGAAAGGATTACGTCAATAAAAGGTTAAGAGCAAAAATGCTGGGAGGTTTTCCTGCTGTTTTTCTACAACTCTGAGATGAGCGAATGCCCCAGTGTGACCATAAAAAGTATTTTGGCAGTCTCTGCGGCCGACTAGGAACATCTTCTAACAGAAAAACTAATGTGCAACACTGAGACATGGGAAAACTACAGTTCACCCATCTTCCACTGGCTGGTAGAGAAATTAAGGTAGATTTGCAGCTTTTTCAAGCTTTGGAATTATGTTAGAAGAGATTTGCTTGTTCCTGTTTGTTATATCTATTGATTCAAAAAACCTACAAACGCATACTGTTTTCTTACCAACTGACACACATGCATACCTGATAACTATTCAGTATTGCAGTGTTTACCAGAATTGAGATGTTCAGAGTAGCGTGTTATTTATAACTGAAGGAGTTTAGCAGAGCTCGGTATCAAACTTAAACACTTTTTAGTGTCTTTAAGTTTCTGTATGGCTGTTTTAACATTTGAGAGGATTAGCTTCTTTTGTTAAATATATGTATTTCTCAAAGTAAGGTATCTAAATGCATCCTGATACCCAACAGCATTATTTATAGGCCTGTATTTTTAGCAAGAGTTTTGATGAAGTGTAGAAGTACAATTTTATTTCTGAAAATACTAAAATAGTCTTAGAAATTCAATATATTTTTGCTTTATTATTTTATATACACCACTCAGTATCTCATAATCATAACTCTATTGTTTATTGTTTCTGGCGAGAATTATCCCCCATCGTTTGACAAACTGAACTGTGTCAACTTCAAAACAGTAAGAAGAGAAATTATGGGAATTTAAAGGCACTATTGCTGATTTATATATTTATAATTTAATGTAATTTTATTTTATTACTTCATAAGCAACACTTTTAATATACAGTGTGATCTTAAGTCTGTTATGCCCGAAATGTCTCTATTTAAATGGAGGTGATTATCTGCAGGTGACCAAGACAGCTGTTTTATTTTTAGGAAGAGGGGGAAAGAAAAATCACTCAAATGAAAAATAATGACAGTACAATAAATATACCATGACGGAAAAAAGGACAATGACTATATATTGATGTTTATAGTGGTTAAATCTCCTATGATGGTCAGGGTCAGAATGCCTGATTTATTCATAGGCAGATGGATCAGACAAGGATAACTGGAAGGGGATGAGTGAGTGTGTGTGTTTGTGTGTGTGTGTATTTGTGACTTGTCAGGAGTTCAAATGGTTTTGGTGGCGCTTATGGCAGAAGGGGATGCAGAGATGTTGGATGAAGCTGCGCAATCCAACACAAATCGGACAAGACGAAAACTGTCATACACGACGTCTCAAGCATCTCTGCCCAAAAGAAGAAAAAAAAAAAAAAAAGAAGAAAAGTCGAGAGCGAGGGGAGGACTAGAGGGGGAAAAAGACTCGGAAACAAGACGAGAGCGACAAAGAATGAGAAATGAATGAAAATGACAGAGCCGATCTCACCATCAAACAAACACTCGAGCTGGACTTCCTTTTCTGACAGACAGCAATGGAGAGGAGGAGGAAAAAAATAAGGGGTCATCGGGAAACAAGGAACTAATCAAAACAGTAAAAAAGTGAAGCTGCCAGATTGATCCCAGAAAGAGAGAAAAAGAAAACAACTGCACAAGCTTACACAGGAACAAAGATGAGACAAAGGGATACTAAGAGGGCTTCAGAAAAAAAAAAAAAGTATCAGCTGCAAAAACAATACAGGGAGTTCATTTTTAAAGGAGAATTGAAAGATTTAAATCACTGGTTGTGCAGTTTATTTGTATAATGTATTTTCTTTTGGAGGGCTGGGGTTAGTTATTGTTTAAGTTACTGTATGTAATTGGAATTTTATTTTGACCCTTGTTGATCATGGCGCTTCACTGCATGCATTGACGCTGACTGTCCATCAAAACAAAATGAGCACCACGACATGATGGTGGCTCGAATCGCTGTGAATCACAGAAACAAACTGTTGGTAAAAAACAAACAGCATTTTAAAAGTCCATTGTTCTTTATTAGGTCCCTTACTTTCACCATAATCTTCGATCTTCATACCTGTGCCCCACCTTCAACTACTAACATGAACATGATCGAGCAACTTCTTGATTTTTAAGATCAATCCTTTTCACTAAGCCTCAAAAATCTTTAAATCACATTTAATAAACCTTAGAAAAACTACAGAGCACCAGAACACAAAGGTAATCCAACGTAAACATACTGCTTTTCCATATGCTCATAAATATCACAGATATATGTTATTACAGAGTAGTTAGAGTGACAGACCAAAAGGGAGACAGGAGAAGATAGGAAGAGTAAGAAAGACAGAAACAGTGAAGTCAATAAAACCCCAATGGGTCAGAGAACTTACCTTCACACCGTCCGACTTTTTGTTTAGTAAGGTTTTGCAAGCTGAAAGAGAGAGAGAGAAAAGGTGGTTTAAGACACAGTCACACAGAAGTAATTGTCCAACAAACAGACACGTGGTTGAGATCACTCAGTCAGCAGGACAAACAAAAACTAAAGATGGTTCAGGAAAGGTTTATCACCTCACAGTAATATATTTCCAAGAGTGGAACCAATGTCTGAGGGACAATCCCTCCCAAACATATATATTCTCCACTACAGAGGATAATCAGGCAAAATAAATGTTTAAAAGAAAATTTGATATTGCAGCAAACTGAAAAATGAAAACCAAACTTAGAAAATGGAAAACCCTGATTGAAAATTTGGAAATCTTTCCTCTTATTAAAATTTGAATTACTGGAGTAGGTATGCACCCTGAGGGTTTATTAATCCTTTTTTCTTTTAACTTTTTGCTTAAATATACAGTCGCTGGCACAAAAACACCCGCAACTCCCACAGTTTCCTGCCAGCATACTTCTGAACCCATCAGGTGCTTCTTCCAAAACAACCAGTTGTTTGTGGTCCTTATTGAAATCAATGTGTCACCAAGGAAAACATAATCTATTGAAAACACTCGTCAACTGAACCACTAGTGCTGGAACAACTTTGTGAAAAGAGGCAGGTAGAAAAGGAAAAAAAACTTGACATATATGTCCCGTATGGGTTAAACACCACCGACTATAAACTAACCAGGCTATATAAAGTGAAACTGTCTGTTAGCCTACATTAAACCACACTGACCTAATATCATGTGCATGCACCTGAAAACTTGACCAGTTATAACAAGAAACAGAAATGACTGAGGCAAGTCCTACAAATGACACCAACACACACAACAACAACTATCAGGAAACTGAATGAAAATGTCCACATGCATGCACACACACAAACATACAGTCACTTCAGAAAGTATTCAGACCCCTTCACTTTTTGCACATACTGTATGTGTTTTAGATTTTATTTTAAATGGATAAAAATGCCATTTCTGCCCATCAGTTTAGATTCAATAACCCACAATGACAAAGTAAAAACATTAAAAACTGAAATCTCTAATTAACAAAAGTATTTCAACCCTTATAGACCTTATAGACACAAGTGTGTGCCTTTCTAAACTATGTCCAATCAATTCAATTTCTAGACACATCTCAAGGATAAACAAAGTCAAATTTTCACTTTGTCATTATGGCTATCCATTAAAATGAAATCTAAAGCACAATGAAGTGCGATTAAAGTGGCTTCATACTTTCTGAACCTAAACTACATTAGACTAAAACTAAACACGGACACACCCTTACTGTATAAACACCATCACATCCCAATGGTACCCCCTTACCTTCCATGAACAAAGTAGGAAGGAGGGCGATGAAGAGGGCAACAAAACATTAATGTGTTTAATATCTGCATGTTAACATCTGAACTGGAAACACCTGTCAGGCTTTCACTTTATGTTACAAGACATTCTTTAATCATTTTCACATGGGTGGTGGGTTCATGCGATGACAGTGGCTCATCAACATGTCTGGCATGCAGCATCCACTTCAAAGTCTTTGTCTTACAAAGTACAGAGGAGGGAGTGCATTCCCAACACTTAGGTAACGTGAGCAGAAAAACTTTATGTTCAGGAAATCCTCTCTGTAACACTGCAACACTGAATCTTACTCAGTCAATGAAGAAATGTAACAGTTGGAATCAAGCACAAAAAGAAATCCGTTATTGACAACATGTGAGCGCAGCATCCACCTGATCGAATCGTGATTCCTGTATGAATGTCCTTTAAGCAAGCAGCCTGCCCCGTCATGTGACTCACATTTACCTGTAAAGGGTTCAGTATGCTTCAAACAAACTAGGCTGCATGGCATGTCGACCGAGCGTGTCTGAAGTCAAAAGCGTTGAACGCTGTTATGGACCATCATGCTCAAGCAGGGATAACAGGGCACAGTTTTCGACAATGTGAGGACGGTGTGTGCTTCTTGGATTGTCGGTTTTAAAACTGACGGTATACAAAAATCTAAAGTTGCCATTAAGAGCTATATTACATAAAAAATATCATTTATATGATACAGGGCCCAGGTGGTAAAATATAGCCTACATAGATGAGACATCTGTTCTCTTTAAGCCTGTACCACAGGACACAGAAGCTCTATCAAGAGGAATGATGCAACGAAATCTTGTTGCACAACATCTCAATTAAATAAGATCACTCTTCATCGTTTTCTGTTGGCATGCAGTAGAAGTCAAAGAGGCGTTAATGTCAATGTTGTCAGAAAAAGGAGAAAAGGAATATTTATTTCCATGAAAGAAGACTTTTCCATTAATGACGTTTTACTGTATAATTATGTTTTGTTTTTCATTTTATCATTTAAATAATAAATAAAACAATTAAATACATTTTATTTTATTTATATTATTTGTTATAACATTTACAATTGATTTATATAGCACCGTGTAAACTGTTTGCAAAGTATGCCACACTAAAGAGGCCCATGGTGGGTAAAATGGGCCTGTTTAGTGAGGGGGGGGGGGCAGTTTCAGACACTGTTTGATGATCTGACATGCAAGTTGTCTGAAGCATACTGGCGGTATTAGGTTTTTTGTGCTTTTGTCTGTTCACACAAAAACAACAGAGCAGGCAGGAGAGAGGAGACAAAGAAAAGGAGATAACAAAGGACACTGCATTCTGTTTATCCAGCTTCCCATGCAGGTTGGCATACATTTCTGTACGCTCATACACATGCTTGGCTGGCTGTTAGTGCCAGAGCCATGCGGAGGAAAGGTTGCAGCGAGCACAGGCAGGCATCGACTGGGCATCAGCCACGTACTGTGGATACAAACCAATTCAAAGGAGGCAAAACTGGGAGTGTTACGAAGGTTGATTGCTGGCGTGTCTATATATGTTCGTAATATAAAAAGGTTAAAATGGTTATGTTGCAGAGGGAAAGATATGCAGCCTGCACCAGTTGTCTTAATGCAGAGATGTGTAAACGCAGCTTGGCTCGGTGGCAGCTGCGGTCGCTGGAATGAGGTCAAAGGGTCATGCTGGGTGTCAGTTAAATGGCTGTTGTGGTCAAAACAGGAAATGAAATAGCCAGTCCTGGAGAGGAGCTCCGTTCATTAGAGCATCAGGACACGCAGCAGCACAGAAAGGTCATGAGCTGAGCTTCTCTTTATGGTTTCCATTTACATGTTTGTGTGCGTTAATACGATGACCCAGTGCAATGACGACCATTCAAAAGGTGGTCCATCAGTGTGCAGGCAGCAGGCAGCAGGTGGAGGGGTTCAAGCAGCCCAGGCCACATGCCAATAGCTCAAGTACAAAGTTGGCAGTGCCCGACTCCAACACCCCCTCTAGTAGACGTACCTTCCTGTGCCATAGCGGCCGTGCTGGTGGTAGCGGCAGGGCTGGTATGCTGCCGTCCCACTATTGGACAGAGAGGGATTCAGTGTGGCGCCACCGGTGGGACAAGAGCCTTTCTAAGCCTGACAGCCTTTTTCTCTCTTGGTTTCTTGAAGTTGATAAACTTTAGAGTTTTAGACAAGGATGGCAAAACATGACGTTCCCCAAAAGTGTCTGTATCAAGCAAGCAAACAGATCCTGTGCAACCCAGTGAGCTGCTCACCATTCATGACAGTTTAACTTTAAAGATAAAGAGTTCTTTGGTTACCAATTTCCTTTTGTTATTAGATTAAAGTGAAGCAACCAAAGGGAAAATCTTCTCAGCTCTAAAATACCTCCACTCTGAAATTGTTAATCTTATTTCCATGGACATTCACTTGATAAACACGCCTACAGTTATGTATAAAGCAATTCAGAGGTCCGGCCCGTCTGCCTTATCCAGTCTAGATCAATCTTGACCAGTGGAAAGCAGTAGGCCATTATCCACAAGAGCTACTTTACTTACATGAAAGCATAAAAACACAGGGCCAGTAGCATTAATGCATTAGCTTGCTAAGCCATCGTCCAGCCCACAAATTGGGTGTTCAATCAAAAGTGCACTGTGTTTCAGTGATCAAACTGCTTACAAGGAGGAAATCCAAGCCAAACCCCTGAAGTGCGAAAACAAACTTGCAGACAAGGCTGACAAGTAAATTTCAACTGGAATAAAAATGTGTGGTCGAGGGAATTGGTTTCAGGTTAAGAAATTAAAAAATAAAAGATCGCAGACAGGAAGTACAGTAGCAGAACAGCAGCGAAACTAATCATTTGGCCTCTAAGAGAAATCAGAGATCAGATCAGGAACAAAAAGTGTGCATACAACTTCAAACTGAAACTTCTTTAGAAATCATTATAAAACAGACGTGTTTTTTTGTCAAAATTCCTGATGCTTCTTTGTATGGGTTCATTTATATACGTATTTTCAACACTGGACTCTGTTTTAAGTCTATGGGCTACATCAAACTGTTGTCTCTTGAGGTGTGATGTGTTATTAGAATTACTGCTAAAGCTCACCTGAGAAGTTCCTGGACACCAGCATCGTTGTGAGGATAGCTCCCTACAGAGACAAAAAATTATAAGGATATGTTTTATGGGTGTGTGTGTGTGTGTATGTGTGTGTGTGTGTGTGTGTGTGTGTGTGTCCACACTCACTTTAAGTTTCCTCCTGGCGTTGAACTTGCGGAGACATTCCACAGTCTCTTGACGGTGCATCATGGAGGCCACAGTGGAGCGTTGCTGTATGTAGAGGACAGGAAACAACACTGTAGATAAACCCAACTTCAGTGTTACACCATGGAAATGCAAGTGCTAAGGTGTTGCTTTATTTCATATAGCTGATTATAAATGAAAAGGAGCCCTGATTTACGTCCCGTGTTCACCTCATTAGTTCAGAGAATTTACATAAAGGTGTTTCATTCTCTTCTGTTCTGGTATATAAAGTAGGTCTCTGTGTTTAGCAGTATACGATTTTAAAACTAGGCTACTGGACCAAATTGTGTTCTTGTTTTGAACAGCTGTGTGCCAAAAAACGAACTGCTTAACATATTTCACAATTTATCTCTGGGAATGTGAGTGAGAGCTCCTGGCCATGGTGTCCTGCCAAGGTATTCCAATACTTAAGTCAATGAATGACTGCTTAATGAGAGAGATAGTGAAAAATGTGTGACATCATTTGTTTGAAGCTTGCATGAACACTTTCTTTTGATGTCAAAGTGTGACTTACGCAGACCCATGGATGCTTGAGGGCCTGGTCGGCAGTGATCCTTTTGGCAGGGTTGATCGTTAACATCTGATTGATCAGATTCTTGGCCTCAGGGGTCACTGTGTCCCACTCTGGAGAGGGAAACTGAAAGAGGGAGATAAAGAGGAAGAAATGTCGAGAATGTATATTACTGTTAATATGCTTTCTTTTAAGCTTTTTTTATTTCAACATCACAGGATTGTGTATCAGAAGAAGTGGTATTTTTCAACTACATCTGCAGACTTTACATTGATACACAAACAAACAAACAAACAGACGCAGCGATCTAGAGTCACACTGTGTCATCTGTGTGAGTGTTTGTCAGGTGCGTCTCTCTCCTCGTTGTATATTCATTTAGGGGAGGATCTCGCAAATCGTAACAGGGGACATGTTAACAGAGGCTGCTTATGTATTTTGCTGAATTTACTAAACTCTGCCTCTGGAGAGAGAAGGTGTAAAGACAGAGGAGGAGGGAGGGTTGGTGAAAAGAAACGCGTATTAAATAAATACAGACTTGTAGATAACTAAAACCAAATATTAGACACAAAATGAGGCAATTAAGGCAATGAACACAATATCTGCTTACTACAACGCAAACGAGTGGTGGAAGAGGCGTTATGGCGTGCGTTCATTAAACTTAAACTTGACCATTATTGAGCTGTAAAACTACTACAGGCTGCAACTGAACTTTTCTTTCTTGAGTGCATTTAGCTGTAATCACCTCAGTGTTAACATCCATATCAACACCATCTCCACCGAACTGCTGGACCAATCTCTATCTTTTGCATCTGTGATTTGTCTCATTGTGAACGTATTTAATACTTCCCAATGTAGTAATAATTATGATACAGATTATTTTATCATCATTTTATGATATTTAGTAAACCAAGCACTGAATACAAGCAGATTGCATCTGTCAACTCAGTCAAAATCGTAGCACACACGTGAGCAATGCGTTGTAAAGCTCAGTAGCTTAATTGTTACTTTTTGTTTTACTTTCTTTTCTTTCATTGTAGAACAAAAGAAAAACATCATATATTGAATGGAGCAATGATTTTATCTTTCTTTGATGTGTTAATTTCTATGCTATGAAACACAAAAAAAATAAATAAATAAATAATTCATTGATGATTTTATGTTGAAGCAAATGAGTGATTTTCAAACTGTGGTGAATAAGTCGATTCACAAAGTAGTTCAGTTGTGACAGATGGAGTTTTCAAAGTCAGCGTAGTCAGCCATACCCACCACCCTCATCCCTCCATCCAAGTAGCAGGAAGTGCCAGAAAACGTGTTTACTATCGAAAACCAAAGCAAGACATTTGTTTCAAACATTTAAATGTCAGCTGTCAATTACCGACAACATGGAAAAACACAAAAAAATGAGATTCAAGGTATCTGCATGACAATGTTGACATTCACAAAGTGAACAATATTACAAGTGCGTGTCACAGTCAGTTCATATCAGTGTTCATATTATGCACATTCATTAGATGTGGTTGCTTCCAATTATGGAAATTAATACGGGTAATAAATTCCTATCTCCCAGAGGACTATGACAAGATCTGATAAATAAGCCTATTGCACTCTCACAGCGTCTCACTTTTTTTACTACAGCGGTGAAGATGAAAATTATGCAATAACAAGTAGAAAGCAATTAAAAACTAGAATTTAATTTCTAAATGACTTGCGCAACAGAATTCAGAGTGTGTTATTTGATGAGACTTGAACTGAAAGTGTCCTGCAGGACTGGTGTTGAGGCTTGCTAATTCACATGAATTACATTTCAAACAGGAAACACAGATTATTTATTAGAATTCAAGTTTGATGAACGCAGATGGAGCTCTCTAACAGACTCTACGGACTTTGACCCTCGTCTTCATGGATCCATGTACTGAAAATTTGCAAAATACATGCACAGTCAGCCAGCCTGGGATGAGCCTGCAAATATGAGCTGGGGCATTTATTAAAGCTGCACTGATTAATGTTTTTATATTAATAATAGATCAAATGACTTCCATAAATTCTCAAGTGGCCTTTATCTACCTCAAGCGGCAGGGGGAACCAGGCCTTTATTTCTAATTTCCTCTGTTCCCCAGTTAAAGCAAACTAAAAACTTCCTCCATGTTTTACCTGGTGTCTTGATAAATTCTGTACAATGTGCATTTCCAGAGCGAGAGTCATGGCAGGCACTCCATTTTTCCTTTTTCCCCCAAATGATCTTACGCTACCATGAATGAAACATTTCCTCCTGTATTTTCACATTAAAAGTCTGGCAGCCTACCTTTTATAGGTACGTTTTTGAAAAAAAAAATCAGGAAGTGTTGAATTTGAAAACATTATTTCAGTTAAACTCAGAGAAACCTGGAGCAGCAGAGCGGTGAGTATAACATGACCATATTGTTGTACTGATGGTATTAGTGTTGTGGAAATGTACCATTACAGTGAATTTACCATGTGAGCTGTTGCAGCTACAGAAAATTCCAGGATGTTTTTTCACCCCGTTATTAGCAAGCGGGATTTGTAACAATCATCTAAACATAAAAAAAAAAGCATTGAGTCATAGTGATACTGTATTCTCTGTCCACTCACCATGGCCAGTAACCATGCTGGCTTTTCATGTTGCACAATGTAAGATTTGTTGTCATGATAACTGCATTGAAGTGTTGCAACAACACAGCTGCAGCTCACAGGCACGCATATCGGGGAAGGTGACTACAAAAACATGAGGGAGAAGAACTCACGTCATATGCACCGGCCTTGATTTGTTGGTACAGTTTGTGTTGGTCCTCGTCCCAGAAGGGAGGGTAGCCCACCAATAAGATGTACAGGATCACACCTGACACACACACACACACACACACACACACACACACATAATCCAAATTAATATCAGTGAGCATATGATAGCAACAGCATACATCCATATTATCCATCTGGCTAACTGACCACATGCCCATATGTCCACTGGCTTGCCGTACGGGTCCTTTCTCAACACCTCTGGGGACAGATACCCTGGAGTTCCCGCAAAACCTGCAAACATACAAACATTTTCAGTGTGTTTGGGACAGACAAATGAGAATATTGACTTTATCTCAACACTTCTCCTCATCTCTACCCTCCTCACCTTCCTCACACATTTCAGTAATATCCTATTTATTGACGTTTTGAATGTAGAACTAATATTCACAGTAATACTGTAATATAACTTCAAACACCACATAGTTGATGAAATGCAATAATTTTAACTGTTCTCAACACACACACAAATGTGTCTGGTATCCATTTCCCTCTAGAAATCATTTTGATTATTTTAGCACCTTGACTTGTTCTTACTTATTCATTTTCCCTTGTAACAAAAAAATACAGCACATTATTATCATAATGTACTTAGCTAACGCTAATACTTTATTTCCTCAAGCAATGATGGAGTGGTGTTCTGGCTGAAAGTAAACAGCATGGAAACAACACAGATAATAAGGTTAAAAATCCCAAGTGTTCATAGAGTGTGATTTCTTACCAAACCATGCCTGTTGGTCGCCCTGCACCTCGATGGCCAGACCAAAGTCTGCAAGCTTCACAGCTGCTCCCTTCATCTTACTGGCCAGGAGCAGGTTCTCCGGCTGCAACACAGAGACAAACATGTTTTCACTCAGGTCAGAACTAAACAAACTAATAAACTAATCACTGCGTCCAACATTTCTTTGTCCATTAGTATTTCTGTAAAATGCTAAAAAATACACACGACGAGTTAGAAGAGACACAAGCGATGACTTGACATTTTTCATTATTTTTCATATTTTTTATTTCAGTCCGAAAAAAAAAGTCAAAATCAATCAGTCATTTAATAAGAACAGGTTGTTGAATTTATCTTTATACATTTAATCAAGGGCAAAAGAGATAAGCCTGTACCCTCCTTCCGGAAATGTCCTATCTGTCTGCATGACGGGATGAGCTGCAGGAGCACAATGACATCTACAGCAGTAATGACGCATGAATCGGTCAAGCAAGGCGACGAAGGCTTCTCCCCCCAAAAGAAAAGACCTCTTCAGTCAGCTGTCATTGGATTTAACAAAGTATTTTGACACTTGTCCTTCTGATCACACAATCACGCAAGAAGTCGGGACTTGGCAAAGATGAGCACATGCTAACTGTTGTCTAAACTGCTTTCTCGCTTTCCTCATTTGCATCTCCTTACATCATAGCTGCTCTCACTTAGGGAGAAGAAATTGAGGAAACAGGTCAGGTAAAGTGTAATCTGATGTGAGGTCAGTTACTGACTATAGCTGCACAGCTGTTTCAGATTTACTTGTTTTAGGTTTTTCTTCATAAGATAGAGCTCAGGGCTGGCCTTTTTTTTTTTTCTTCTTTGTAGGATGACAGGGGTTAGTATTGTTGCCTCGTAGCGAGAAGGTCCTTGAGTTTGTTGGTTTTCCCTGAACCAGTTGCATGCCAACCTTAAACCCTATGACCCACACTCCCGTAGAGTCTGAATCATGCATTATCACTTTAATAATAAAATAAATGACATATGAGAAATCCTGGACAGAGGCATTTTTTGTGTTTTTGTGATTTATGTTAATTACATTACTGCACTATAATGCTGGTGTAAATGCAAGAACAAACCACTGCAATTAGAACACAATCAAATTGAATCTGGTTTGCACTGTGATCATGTCTCAGCCAGGTGTAAAATCAACGTCTGCAGTGTGACCTTGTTTTTAAGAGAAGGAATCTGCTAAACAATCAGAAGATAATCTAACTCTGCCTCTTCCTGCCATCTCAAGCTGCTTGTCAAAGAGCCTCAGATGACCTCTTCATCAGCAAAGGAGGAATAGGAATATATATATATATATATATAGCAGCTTCGCTTCAGGAGACTATTAAGGGGGACGATGTGGCCAAGCTGGTGCTAGTGAGCTTCTCCACTGACAGTAATGAACCTTCATAAAATATAAGTACTGTTAGCCTAGATAGCAAAGCTACTGAAAAGAAGGATGCCTTTGGCTGTCTCCATCTGTCCCATGACCCTCATCTTTCACCTCGAGAGTATCCTACCTAACACACACTGTTCTCATTGACAAGTCTGATCACATTACGACTCTTGTTAATACGAGGTGCAAATGCAAAGGCCCTTAATCAGATGTCATTATTTAGATAGCTTATCCATATAATAGCATGTTAATACCAGGTGTAAATGGGATCTATGTGTGTGTTAGACCTGATGAACTGGTACCCGGTGCATGCTGGGACAGACTCCAGGTCACTGTGACCATTTTTTTTTAGGATAAGCAGTTTTGAAAATAGATGTTTTTCTTTAGCAATGTGTTGGCCCTACATTCTAGACTATAAGTCCCAATTGGTGGGCCTCTGTGTGTGTGTGTGTGTGTGTGTGTGTGTGTGTGTGTGTGTGTGTGTGTGTGTGTGTCTTGAGGGCAAAAGTTTTTGCAGCGGTAGCCATCCTCATTGCCTCAAATGTGGACGGATGGATGGATGTCTGACACTCGTACCAACTGTTTTTGTGCTCTTAGTCTGTTTCATCTCATCTGTCTATCTCACTAGCTCTCTCCCCATCTAGTTATCATCCATCCATCCATCCATCCTCCTACCATTTTTCCCCTCTATCGGGCAGAGCTGAGACAATAGGAGAGACAGAGAAAAGGGGGGACTGCACAGGGGACAGAGAGCTCGAGATAAAGCAACAGGACAACAGAGAGCGAGAGACAGATAGAGATAGATAGATGGGAGGTGGCATAATGAGTCCCTACGCTGGCGCTGCAGCAGCCGGGTGACCTCACCCTACAGTTACCATGGCAACCCAGCCTGCCACCAGCCAACAGCGCTCAACTCTTTCTCTCTAATTCTTGTTTTCCCTTCAGCGAGTCACCCTCCCAACATGACAGGCAGGCGAAAATATGATATGTATGTATGTATGTGTGTGTGTGTGTGTGTGTGTGTGTGTGTGTGTGTGTGTGTGTGAGTGTGTGTGTGTGTGTGTGTGTTTATGGCTGCATCCCGAGGAAATTTTTATTTTTATTTATTTTTTGGCCACTTGGGGGCTGTAAACAACACTGAAATATTATTGTTTATAAAGTTGTGGTGGTTAACGTGTAACAGAGCAACATTAGCATTAATTGTAAGTGTTTCTGGCCACCTGATGAATCTAAATCCAATAATCTCTCTACGGTTTGTTAACCAGCTGGTAACCAGAGCTAACTGTATTAGTGCAGTTTATCAGTTTGTTTTTTGCTGCTGCTGGAAACAAGGTTGATGAGAAGAGAAAAGCGAAAACAGTAAATAGAGGTTACCGCGTTTATAGCAGGTTTAAGGTTGGAACTAGAATTACCGCTTCGTGGTTGTACGCCTTCACCAACCAGTTAAAGTGCAGTTTACATCCATGTCAGTCCAGACTCATCTGTAATTCAGACTTTGAAGGAATTTCATAAAAAGGTATTACGTGTATTTTGTGATAATTAGCACATGAATTCTTCAGTTATGGCCAAAAACTTGTATAGTGAGGTGAAAGTGACCTTGACCTTTGATCTTTGCCAAGCAAAATTTGATCAGTTCTTATTTGATATTTTTTGGAAACTTTGGCAACACTGCAGAAATCTAAAATAGATTTCGATAGGGCTGAAAAATATTTGGCAGCACAGATTGAGTTTATAATGACGGTCTCACCAGCAGGTCAGTGAAGTTTAAATATACAATATATTGTTTAGTATACCATCTGAGAACAAACTGTCTGCAGTAATGATGCACAGATGCAGTTTTAATACACGATGAGGGAGTTGTACATAAACAACTAAAGTAATGGATTTCTGTCCTCTGCCCTCATCATCTATCATCATTTTTGTCTCTCTAAAAGTCTTTCCTCTCCGCATTCATTTGATATATATACAAGGAAAAAATCAATGAAAAGCAACACAAGTCCATTTACACCACTCTCACACAAAAACAGATTGTTTATTCTCCAATTACTCCTGTCTACTTATCCAAGAGTAATGGTTTAATTTTGCTCCTTCACATTAAAGTAAATAACCAGATTACAAGCAAACTATTTAAGTTTAGGACTCTGACCTCAGTATTGGCAATAAAACAAATGTGGTGCAATTATCCAGGTGTTTAAACCTCAGGTCAATCTGCCGGCTTCATTCACCGTATTGTTTAAAAATTGAAATAACCCTGAGGAGGCCAGGAGTGCTGTTGATTTCTGCTGGGGGTGAACAATCTTGCTGCAAGGGAAATCGTCACTGGCCGTCATCTCACCCACCGACCCGCTATTAATAGCAGCTGGTCTGCTTTCGTCACTCCTCAGCAGTGCAGGAGGGAGGGGAGAGGAAATAGGGGAACAGATGAAAAAAGGGGAGGGGGTATAGATGTTAGAGGAAGATGGGAACAGAGAAATAAAGAGGAGAGAAAGCAGGTGATGAGAAGGATGACGCTCGTCCCTTAAGTTGCTCTTAACGTCACAGCATGACGTCTGTGCGATGTGTGTGCATGTGTGTGCGTTTAGACCTGTTGTGAATCTCGATCAATGACTTTCATTTCATTCACGACACAATGTTACATCCCTATAAGAGACTTCCATGTGCATCGAACTAGTGTGTCGGAGAGCATAGAAGGTCCTCCCACATTGACCAGTGGTACACGATAACTCACCTTGAGGTCCCTATGCACAATGTCATGCTGGTGGATGTGACTGACGCTCTCCAGGATCTGATTGATGCAGTGACTGCAGGACACAGAAGAGAGACACATCTGTCAGTCCACAATAACTACATGACAATGAGCTACAGACTGAAGCAAAGGAAGAAAAAATATGATTTTTAAATAACTGAAAAAAAAAAACGATCAGTTGTTTGGCTGACAATAATGACAAATGTTCATCGTAGTTTCAGTTTCAGAGCCCAAGGTGACATCTTTAAGTGTCTCTTTGTGTCTGATAAAATGTAAAATATGTTCAATAAGAAAATCCTCACATTGGAGGAGCAGAAAAAAGGCTATTTTCTGCCATTTGTGTGTGAAAAATTACTCAAATTGATTGACTGATATTTTGAATTGAGATACTAAAAGACATTTTTGGTGAATTCTCAGAACAGGAAACACTTCTGCTCAATTGTGGCCAGCAAGGTCAACAACAGTGACCTATTTATGACTCAAGCACGAGCACACACGAGCCCTGTGAGACTGTGTAAATGTACCTGCAATCTACGAGCAACAATCATTTGTGAACCCTCACTCTTATTCCATTCGCGATCTGCGTAGTGTTGGATAGGGGGATAAGTGGTGCACATGGGAATAAAGTTTGGTGCATTTTTATGTGACTGAATGTGTGGAAGGAAGTGGAGTGGGCAGGGTGTGTGTGTGTGTGTGTGTGTGTGTGTGTGTGTGTGTGTGTGTGTGTGTGTGTGTGTGTGTGTGTGTGTGTGTGTTGTTGAGGCGATGTGGGGCATCTTATGTAAGCTTGTCCTAAGCTTGCATATCAGCGATTTTGCTGGTCTGATACGCTGTTAAAATGACCATTATTTCTTTTAAATTAAATTGAGCTTGACATTAGTAAAGGTGAAGTCGGGGTCAGCAGCAGGGGGGTGTACAGAGACATATTTTGGGGGAGTGGAGTCCTCTCTCTGTAAGACAGAATCAAAAGAAAAGCCTCTGGCGTTGTGTCCAAATTAGGCTAAATCTGGACTCCACATTTTGTTCTGCATATCTCCTCTACTCATACTCATTTCAGCATTTCACTAACCCCATTTTATCTGCCTCCCCCGTTTCTGCAGCTAATATAGCACCCATCAGACTACCCTGCTCCTGTTCTCTTGCCCTGTCTCCAATACTCTTCAACTTACATCTTTTTTTATTGGCTGAAGTCTCTAAAATGTATGTGTCCGTCCACTTGACAACCAAAAGTTAGAAACTGGCAGCCCTGACCTTTGTAATAGTCAACGTAACAAATAATTGTGACACCTTGTGAATAACATCGATAGTTATAGTAGCTATAGTTATTTATATGTGGCTTGAACTACCAGTGCATGGTGATGCGTTTTAACTGGCTGCACATACATTCGATTTGTTTAAAAACACATGATTTAATTTTGCCATACTCAATTACAAGTTGTGAGATACTAAAATGACATTCAGAAATAAAACAACCTGAGGATGTGGTCGTGTGTGTTTGAAGCTGCCTTCTCTCCTGCTAGCTCACATGCACAAGAGGTTTGGCTTCAGGCGTCTCTAACATCCACTGAGACCCTGTACATGGCCACACCTGACCTGAACTGTGTCAGTAGAGTCTGTAGTGCTGAACTCAAATCACATCGTGAGGTCTCACCTGGTGCAAGTCATAGGGATGACAGAGAGGAGATAAAAGAAAAGGATACGAGCATTGCTTGAAAATGCTGGAGTGTGACGATGTTGTTGGATAATTTTGTTTTATTAAAGTGTTGACAGAACGCTAACACATGACATGAAATCTGCTAGAAGACGTGTTACGGTTTAAACCTGCACGATCCGATCAGGTAATGCGCTGCAGTGCAAAAAACCAACTGCAACTTCTGACAACAGGCTTAAAATAAGGTTCTTCGAGACTTAGGACAGCTCTGTCATCATTTATTAATGAAATTAAATTTAAAAACCCAGAGTCACATGGTCAAAGAGAAAGTGTATACCATGCACTGAAAACAACCTCAGAGAAGCGCACAAGCATTTCCTCTGCTGTCAAAGCACAAAGTACATTAACACAGATTCAAACGGCAAAACATCTTGTGCTTTCACAACCAACTTTTCTGCCTCGGCAGCCTGAAATTTTTTTTTTTTTTACACTATGGAGGCCACCAGAACCTTAGTATGCAGGAAAACTGACAAACATGGACAACTTAACATGTTCACATGTCAGCGGGATGACATACTGTACCTGGCATCTGCCTCGCTGTAATACTCTCTAGCAACAATGTCCTCAAACAGCTCTCCTCCAGTGACACTGCAGACGGAGACAAAAAAGTGACTGTTATTTCTCCTTTCTGGAGACAAATGAAGATCTCTCTCCTAAATGGAAAATACACACTACAAAGAATATCATATATCATACACCTTTCAGTGATGCAGGTGTGATCGGTGGTAGAACTGATTAAGGATTTTGATTTATGTTGATGTTTGTTTCTATTCTTATTTCATTTCTTACTTCATTTTTCCCTTTGTGCTGCTATTCTTTTGTGCTGCTGTGTCGAATTTGAATTCCCTCTACGGGGGATCAATACGGGTGCGTCTTATCTTATCTTATAAAAGTCCTCATGGATCCACCATGCTCTGTATTCATGTGTATGTGTCTCCTGTGATCTAAGTGGTCCTTACAGAGGACGCTTGACTGGTTGCTGATAATACTAACCTCCACATGACTCACTTGGATGTCTGGTTTATCTGCAGCTCGGACACAAACCTGACAGACTGCTCATAATTTGGCTGCAACTTTAAATCAGAAATGTTCTGATTTTCTTTGAGTTGGGGAATATAAAATGTAATATTCAACACACACTATTTGTTTTTTTTTTTGGTTTTTTTTGGTAAAGTCCTAACATTTTCATTAGAAGATACATTACATGTTACACAAGTGGTAGAAATAGCATGGAGAAGATGTGACAGCTTACCCCTCCTCCACTGTTCTTATCATTTTTACTTGTGGTAGTAAACATGGTGAAAGGTGAGGGGTATTTATATTACACGTGAAAAAAAAGTAGTCCTTTCCTTGATGGCAGCTCAGTGGAAATGCTGATAACATACTGTACTGCTGTGAATGGTGTCCGTCACGGAAAATAAAAAGGGAAAAACAATTTCAACTTACTTGTTGCTTAGGTGAAGCAATTTATCCTGGAGAAGTACTCCAGCCTGAACCTATGACCTGTGTGTTTGTGGTGTGTGTGTGTGTGTGTGTGTGTGTGTGTGTGTGTGCATGTTACTTACAGGTCAAAGACAAGGTAATGGAAACCTTCCTCTGAGATGCTGTCATGGAGTCGTACTAGTGAGGGAAAGAGAAACAGAGAGACAGAGACTTGGGTTACAAATGATTAAATATAGTTATTTATCTTCTATACTGAAACACCATCACCTTAGAGGAGTTTCCTCTGCGTGAATAATAGTGTGTGTGTGTGTGTGGGGCAGTGGTGGTTAAATTACTACGGTATCATGGTATGTTCATTCACAATCATAGCTAACACACACAGGGTCAAGTGATACATCCACCGTGGATACGAGGTTTCTGGCAGAACCGTTTCTCCCCGCCTATCTGAAGTGATCTACACCAGCACTCGACAGTAGGCTTCAGAAGCCTGAGTGCCACCTGGACGGTTGGCAACAAGGAATCAGCTTTTGGATGACAAAGCTGACTGAGTAGTTGCCATATTTCTAATCATTTATAGCTGATGTGATAGTGCTAATTTCTTTTCAGGTTTTCTCTCTGATGCTGCAGCACTGGATCAGGCAGAAAGCTTCAGTGCACACAGAGGGGCGGAAAGGTTATTTCTTCTTCACACAGGAGGAGCTGGGCAACTTTAACCAACAGTTTTAATCAGCAGTTCAACAGAGTTTTGAAATACAGAAACCTACAAATAGATTAAAAAGCTGCTCGTGTCAAGGTGGGTGAAGGTGCTGAATTAGGAAATGAAAATGTGTTATATTACTCTCTTTCTCCTTCAGGTGACTCACATTTAAAGAAAGGAAAACTTGACAAGCTCTCCCCTTGAGGAAGGGATAAAAAAAAAAAGAAAAGAGCAGCCATGGGAGGAGGACGAAGAATAGGGTGATGACAAAGCAGGAATCAGGTGGTGCAAAGAAGAAAGAGACCAATGATACCAATAGGCCGTTATCATACTTTGTGTGTGTGTGTGTGTGTGTGTGTGTGTGTGTGTGTCTTGCACTGGGCAGCATACTATGATAAGACACTTGGCAGTTCAGCCACAAGGATACTTTGCCATTTCCTTCCTTTCCAAGGGGCCACTGTCTATTGTCTGGATTTCTCACAAAAAACACACACAGAATCTCAAGTTGTATGAGACTCAAACTTAACAAAGACGTTTACAGACATTTCCAGGAACAATAATCTTTCAATCAACCGGACAATTTACCGCTACGGATACTAAACAAAGTAGTTTGGTTATTTAGGGCAGGTCTGACATTTTGAAAAACTGGCACCATACAACGTACCCATGGATGTGCAGAGAAGTATCACTGGATTTACTGTGATACTGAATAAAACTTAAAAACATGATTATTCTGAAGCAGGTTCACAATGGTCAACCTGGGGTAGTTACACCCTTGCAAAGTGTAAATCACACTGAATATGTGCATCATTTTCTGTGTGTTCAGGTTCAGTACAACAGAACATAACCTAAACGTACATAAACATTCAGCGTCTTCATATCTGCCTACTATTCACTTTCTCCTGTATGATTTCATTTGGAGGACAAAATCTGTTAAACTGTAAATACATTCTTTAAACCACTCATCCATAATATGATCTGTATTTTCCAGTTCATTATGATTTAGCATTCTCCATTTTACTGCCAGAAATTCAGATGTAACAAACCTGTGTGTTTGCTTTACATTATCATGTTGTTTTCTGAGTAAATATGAGGAGAGGGAAAAAACAAAGAGAGACAATGTTGACCCAACAATTGACCCTTACAACATCACTCTACGTCCACCTACTTAGAGACAAGAGTAACACGTTACTCGTGAGGAAAACATTGGACAACCAACGCTGCTGCTTTTTCCTGGGGAGGGGAGTCTCTATAATTTCAAGTTTGCAGAATATGACGACCATCGAGCTTGCAGACATACCTCTGAGATGTGAAACAAAACGCTGATACAGTCTTTTCACACTTCAACATAAAGGTCAAATGAAAAAAACAAGTGTCAGGAAAAGTACGTCTGTCTGCTCTCCACCAACTAACCTGACATGAAAGGATACTGTGAATACTGAGGCAAATATCTAGTGACCATTAACCGTCCAGCTTCACACACACACACACACACACAACACATGAGACTATACACTTATCACACAACCACACTTCTATATCACACACAGCTACACAAGGATTCACCACCATAACAACATGCCGACACACAGAGTACACAAAGTAAACAGTGTTGATCGCATTAGTGCGACCAGCTGACTGTGCATGTCTTGGTGTTCAGACTCACTTCACCTCTTTGGCTGCTGGCCAGTTGAACCATGCAAATGTCCCACTCCATGACATACCAGGTAACTGGCTGATATGCTGAGGTCATTTGCTTAAGTGACAGTATTAAACTGCACACTGAGATGAAACTAGACTAGAAAATGACAGTGGTTGTTGTTTTAGTTCCCGTGCACTGGATTTGAAATAACTCTGAGCTTTCAGCTTTAAGTGTCAGTTTCAGGTCAGTCCAGCTGAACATGTCAATGTCTGTGTCATAAACTGGAGGCAGCCATGACTGTAAAAGGATTTTAATACAAATATTAACTATGATTGCTCATACGCATATACACAGACACACACATATACAGTATATATATAATGCCAGGTGACTTTGTACGTCACAAGGTGAATACAGATAGGTGTGTGCTCTGTAAGTTAGTCATGAGGGTACCTTCACTTGTATTTGTGTAGGTGTAGTTAAAACTAATCTTGTGTTTGGGGTCCTGGAGTTTCCCACTCAAAAACATACTTAACTTTGTTTTATCAGCTTTATGGTTGAACTTTTTCCTAACTGTATGAGAAGTCTTAATAATCATGATTTTGAACAAACTATACTGTTTAAAACATTGTTAAATGCAATGAATTTCCTTGTGCTTTATCTCTGTGATCGGTGTTTACGGTACTTTTAAGGAAGCATTATTCCTCCTTTTTCCAAAATCAGACTATTATGATTCATGTTATTTGAGATTTTTAAGAAAAATGAGGGGTTATCACTTCAACACCTTCCTACATATGAAGCAAAACAAAGTATTCAAACAACACATTTACTAATTTGGCAATTATTGCCATTATTTATTAATCTATTTTACATATACAGCAATGCGGTCTGCTGAACTCCAAATAATGAGGAAGTAAAGCCAATTTCAACAGAACACAAGGATTAATGTGACTGACGAGCCTCGACCAACCTCCGAGTCCTCTGACTGACTGGAATCCAAACAAGAGAAATCTGTTGCAGCAACTGAAAAGTTTTACCTCTAAACTAAAATCTTTTTTTTTCCCCCAGATCTTCTCAATTAAAACATCTGTTCCACTAATCCATTAGTCTGTTAACTCTCAGAGGTGACTCACCTATGTTTGGATGTTTCAGCAGACGACAAATTCTTGCCTCCCGTTCCAGTTTCTGGTGATCTGAGGACAGAAAAGAGCAGAGAGAGGGGAATCAGTGAGGACACAATGCCAGCTCCAGGACCAGAAGCAATTATGACACTTTGTTTTTGTCCAACATGTGACCAAAATACCAGGAAAAAACGCATTTCTTATGAACACACTTTGGTGAGTCGACACAGAAGGGCACAAATCCAACACTAAAGTACAATACCACAATAATGGCAGCATAACGTTCACTACATCTTGACTGAAGCTCATGCTGTTCAGTATCACTTTTTCAACATAGCATTTGGAAAACAGCTTTTTCTACATAACCTTTTAACATATGTTCAATATTTAAGTGCTAATAAATAATAAATAACTTGTTTAGTTTTTCTAAAGCAAAGATTTTTGCAACCACTTAAACTTGATATCTTGTTTGAGAGGATTTCAGAAACACCCGTACCAGCCACTATGTGAATTGATTAAAAATTTTCTTTTAACTGTGCAGCTGCAAACACATAAACACACAAACACATTTATTCCCTTTCTCCCTTTATTCTCTTTCTCTCCAATCTTTTCTGCTTTTTCAATCAGAACAATAGATTTATTCTAAACCTGCCATTTTGTGACAAAAATCAAAGGGACTTGAACTGAAGGGGACGGTAAATAGTTTCAACAGTGACAGGATGTCATAAAGGTAAGACACACAGCAAACCAGACAAGCTAGGAGGCCAGAGGCTGTCAACTACAATGAGCTTGCACAAGTAGACAGGCAGACAGCTATATACTGTATACAAACACACACACACACACACACACACACACACACACACAAACCTCTAGCACAAGCTTTTTTGCACTTAGTGAAATTAGTCTTGTGGGTCCGGCCTTAATATAATCAGTGTCCAGTTAATGATTCTAATGGGGAGGGTAGGGTGTGTGTGTGTGTGTGTGTGTGTGTGTGTGTGTGTGTGTGTGTGAGTTTGTGCGTAGCTGCATATTTACGAAAGACAGATTGGTTGTAGGACAGATACAGTAGATAGATACAGTGACGTGACGTCTCCTGTTGCCGAGCGTTAGAGGTCAAGTTCATACTGGACTCTCTTGCCACCCACCAGCTGCCAGTCTCCGGGGACAGATGGGCTGCTTAAGTGTGTGCACACGCCTGTGTGTGTTTTTGTTTCTGGTGTGTGTGCGCGTGACAGAGAGAGAGACACTGGACATCCCTAATCCCCCGTCCCATCCAAGGCTTCAGGCAGTGTCGTGGTGTCGAGTTAATCAAAAACATTAGTACCCCTTCTTTATCCACAACTGATTAAAACACCACAGGTACAAGTGAAGTGACAAATTATATTATTAAAAAAGCACTGACACCATCCAAGGTGACAAGGTGCAAAGGAAAGGCCAAGATATATCAGAGTTATTAGTGCTGGAGTAATTACCTTATCGTGTCCTCAACTACATTCTCAAATCAGTAGCTGATAGAAACAAGCACTAATTTGCATTTTATTTCAGTGACTTTTTGAAAATGAGAGATGTAGCTGAGAAAAGAAGAAAAAAAGAGAAGAGAAGAAAAGAGTCTTCTCTCGGGAGGTAGTTCGACCCCAATGAGTCAGCAAACTGAAGCAATGTTTGCTGATTGTGTGGCTTTCTCTCCTAATCAAAGTGTGAACACAAACTTTACTGTAAATGGCAGTAAGTACATGGTATCCTAATCTTTGGCGCTTCTGGAGTTGTACAGAAAGTAAACTCAGCAGTGCTGGTCAAAAGCAGAACTCACACACTTAGATGCCACTGGAGAGGAAAATAATCAAGCTGTATGTAATCAATTAACCCGGCTAATAGGATGGAGGTAACACCCAGAGGTTAGAGAAGCCTTCAGTTTGTTCACATCCCGCGACTGGCTGGAAAAACATAGGCAGGAAAAGTGAATAGGAAATACTTCCTTCCTGCGCAGCAAACACAGAGGGGCCTTTAAAAGGCAATGGAAACTCAATTCCATGACTACAATGTAAATATGTAATTTGTGGTCTTGTGTGCATATAAAGCATTTAAAACATGACAGTTTAATGGCACCGACTATGATGAGGCAGCAATACTGAACCGTCACCAGTGACCTCTCCTAATTCAATAAACCTCACTATTTATCACAAATCTCAATCTGCTGCCTTGTAACATTCAGGATGAAATGTTTTGCCATAACTGCTCTTTGCAGAAAGACTTTGATGACGAGAACAATGTCGATGGGGCAGGAAGATGTCATTTAGCACTGATATGATTAGTGAATTAATTGAAAGTTCAATCAAAAGAACATGCATCTGCTTTTATCAGTTTTATATCATTTTAATTGAATGTCTATTAGTTTTGGACGATAGATAAAGCAAACTATTTTAAGACATGAATTCGGACTCTGGGAAACTATAATACATTTTCCATTCCATTTACAGCACAATTAAATCAATTAGTTGAAAAAACAAGCAAAAGACGACTCTTAAAAAAGGTATATACTGAACTAAAATATTCAGTTTACAGTGATATAAGCAGCAAATCCCCATATTTGAGAAGCTGATGGGAATGTTTGGCATTTTTGTTTCTATAATGTCTAACAATTACTAATCCATATCTGCCTTTTTATAGACACTTTAAAATGTACATGTGCATATGTTTTTCATGTATCCCAGTGCTTTCTGTGAATGAGTAGGACTTTATCCACATCACACTGCTGTAGTGACGTACTGTACATGGAGGCTCAGTCACATCCAAGTGGAGAGAAAGAAAGAAAAAACAGCCAGTCGATCTTCACAGCTGTCGCTGAGTGAAAGGTGGGACCTGTGGGTGTAAAGTCACCTCTTGACTAGAGATGTAAAGGTTTATGTATTGATTTCCTATCAAATCTATTCTCCTCACCGCCACAACAAGCTCCTGCAGGAAACCACATGGAGGGATAAAACACCATCTTGAGTCTGACCCCGAACTCTGACCTACAGGGCTAAGCCAATCAGCTGCAGCTTTTATCCTGCATGTGTCCGCAGCCCATACAGACATGCGTACACACTGGACTTTTCCTGTTCAGTTCAGTGTCCACGCTTTTGTTCAGGCCTCACAGACACACACAAGCTTTAATCTGACCAGTGTGTTTGGAGGATTAGAAATCAAAGCATGCTGCAGACATTCCTCAACCTCCTTCTCATAGCCATAATGGGCTATTTTGGCTGCTTGTATTCTTAGAAAGTTGAATCTGCCTGCAAAAATAGGACTCTTTTGCAATGCTGGCCTGAGATGACGGCTTTATTATGCTTGTGATGGCAGACAGTGTTGGCAGCTGGCTGCTTAGAAACAGTAGAAGCTGACTGAGGAGTTTCAATAGAGAGATGAGAGAATAAGTACAGGCTTCAAAAGGACGAACTGTGTAGAAAAGGGGGAACAAGAGAAACTGACTACAGCTTAACAGAAGCTGTTCAGTGTCAAATACAGACGGTAAAAAGAACACAACCACTAGAGAGTGATTAGAAGTGACGGACAGAACCAATTGAAAGGGGCTGAATTAGAGGTGATAGTGCCCCCTTTGTCCTGAACTTGCAGCTCTTCAATAAACTAGACTTAATGTAATTCGAGCATGTAACTGTTTTCAAAATGTTGGTGTTTTACTGTCGTGGTAACAGCCACTCAATCCCATACGATAATGTAGCCCCACAGCTGGGTAGTTTTCAATATAATCAGCACAAAGGGTAAACTGATCATCAAACCTAAACATCAAATATCACACATTAGATTAACATAGTAACTAATGAAGTCCTTTAGGAGCTCAACACATATTGCCTAACTACAGGAAATACAATGGGGTGACGGCTCAACAAAACCAAAAGAAAACAAGCTGCCGAGGCTGCGCTTCACTGGCTGAAAACAAACAAAAACGTAAATAATGCAGGGAAACTGACGACAGCTCAACAGCATCACAAACTACAAGCTCTAAAATGACCATGAAGTTGAATCAACACCTTTCTAAAACCGAACACTGTAACCTTCATGAAGATGGGATTTATTGCAGGATTGTCTTATTAGACTGCGTTAGTTTTAGCGAGGGGTATTTAATAAACCATCTCAATGTAGATTAGCTACATTAACTCCCTGTATGTGGCTACTGGCTGTGTACGGCTCAATCTCTGAATCCCAAAACAAACAACAATGTTTTGGACCCAAACTGACAAGAGACCCATTCAGCTACAAGTAAACAGCTTCATTTTGCCATGTTAAATCACTGCACATGGAGGAAGAGCTGGCATGTGGTGCTCATTGGTAACGTTTCTTTGTAGGAGTAACAGTGAAAAAGTCAAACCCATGGCCTGCCAATAGCATCCTCGCCCACATACACACACGCTCGTTTTAAAGCTTTCCGGAGAGATGCTGTGATATCGTAGCGTCTGCTCCGGAGAGAAGAACACACGGCACTTAGCCCAATTGGATTGAGTGATGACCGATGGCGTGGCACATCATCATATTCATTTATCCATCCAGCCCTCCCCCTATTACTATCTCATCTAGAGGCTCTAAACAGACTGGGGCAGTGGATGAATGGATGGATGGATAGATGGCTTCTTTCAGCCCACACTCCAACTTCTGGTTTTGAAAACACGATACCATCCGCACGCCCCACCCTTCCGCTTGTAGCATCAATCTTAACTTCTGCCTGCAGGGAAAGAGACAGATAATACTTTACAATTAATGCCAACAAACTGAACACAGGAGTAAACACAGGGACCAAACACAGCCAAAATCACTGACGGGTAAACTTCGACATTGTCATTCTTATATTTTGGTGTCATGTGGTCATCGTTGTGGCGTTTCTGTCTGCACTGCAGATTTTGTTGCTGAATTGTGAGTTCAACTAGCTGGTGACAAACATGGTGTCTTCTTCTCTCCAGCTGCACCAAACTCCTGTTCACTTTTTTCCCCCAGTAAAAACCAACCATACCAATTATTTGGAGGAAGAAACAAGTTTTCAAACTTGGCAATGATAATGAATTTTATCAGTTGAGCAA